TTGGGTATAGTCATTCCTTTCTTCAGCTCTTTGTATTGCTTCTAGAACTCTCTGAAGGGCTGGTTTGCTGGACATGAATTCCTTCAGCCTATTTATGTCATGGAAGATTTTTCCTTTCCTTTTGACTATAATAGACATTTTGGTTGGGCATAATAATCTGGGTTGGCATCTGTGGTCATTTAAAACTGGGAATACTTCTGTCCAGGCTCTTCTGGCTTTCATAGTTTGCACTGAAAAGTCAGCTTACTGAGTGTTTCACATCCTTCTTCATTTCAGCCGGAGTAGTCTTCAATATTTCTAACTCTTTTCCAAATTCATTCAGAAGTTTATTCCTATCTTCCTTCAGTTCTTTGATTTCTTTTTTTGTGTGTTCTTTAAATTCACTGAATTCTTTTATCATGTTTATAATTATTCTCTTGAGTTCCATGTCCTGCATCATCTCTAGGGGGTTCTCATTCTACTTCTCTATAGGACTATTGGTATTTGGTGGGGATATGTTATTTTGGTTTTCATGTTATTATTTTTTCTCTGTGATTTTGCCGTGTGGATTTCTTTTGTAGTGTCTGATTCTTGTGTGAGACTCAAGCCTTCAAGTTTAGGTCTCCTTCTTTTTGTGAACTTTGTGTGTCTTTGTGGTTTATTTTTTGGGCATGAAAAGCTGGTTGTTCTAGGCTTCTGGTTCTCTCTTTTGATTTTATATTGGAGTGGTGAAATTGCTTTTGTCTTCAGGAGTTCCCACAGAGGCCCAAGTCAGATGAGGATCAGATGCTCTCAGGCTTTCTCCTAAGGTCTGGATCCCTCCAGGAAAGGTTTTGGCCTCAGGAATTTGGGGATTGGACTGGCCTGGGAGCCAGGCCCAGGAAAGATGCTGGCCTAGGACAGCTGGTGGCTGTACCACGCAGAGATGCAAAGGCAGATCGGGGTGGGAAACGGCCCCAAGGACTCCTGGGGACTGCACTGAGGAGCTGGGATGGTCTGGATGCAAAGGATCAGGAAGAGGAAAATTCAGCCCCCATGGAGGGTGGTGCAGGCCCAGGGAAGCAGAGGGAGGTAAGGGTGGGGCTAGGCCCAGAAGCAGTGCTCCTGGGGACCAGAGAAGGCTCTGAGTTGGTCTGGATGAAGAGGATCAGGAAGCAATAGTGGTTCCCCAGGTGTCTGGGGCCTCAAGACAAGGAATGGGACAGGACCCAAACTAGGAGGAGAGACGGGCGGGGGAGATGGGAGGATGAATGAGGCTGAGGGAGTCAAAGCACAGAGGGCAAGATGGACTTACCCCGGAGAGAGGACTGTGGATGGGAGAAAGGCCTACAGTGAGTCCTGCAGGCCCAGGAAAGCAGAGGGAGGTGAGCATACAATATGTTTTGATCATATTTAGACCCCCTCCCTTATCTCTTTATGAGTCCCTGCCCAATTTCATGCACTCCATATATATATATATATGTATATATATATATATATATATATATGTAATAGCTATTGGCTGTAATATATATTTATATATATTAGCTATTGGTTGTCAATAATTCCTCAGCTAGGGTTAGGGTTTCCTATATATCTCCCCACTTCCATCCATGCTGGGATTTTTTGTCACACTTGATCTTACGTGGGGCTTGTGGATGCTGTCACCATTGCTGTGATTCCATATGAGCAACTGATCCATTGGCAGGAAAACTCTTTTCCTGTGGTCATGACCACCATGTGGCTCCTCTTCCACAATGATCCCTGAGCCTTGGGAGGCAGAAGTTTGATACAGGTGTCCTATTCAGGGAAAAGCATTCTGCAGCCTCTTTTTCTCTGCATGTCTTCTGGTTGTGGGTCTCTGTGTTAATCGCCATCTGCTGCATGAGGAAGCTTCTCTGGTGAGAGTTGAGAGATATGTCAATCTGCAAATTTTATTTTTGATGATTTCATACCTGTTTGTGTTTACTGTGTCTTTCATCAGATTCACCCCATTGCTCTCTTGTCTCTTGGCTTTGTTGAATCTCTTCTTCGTTCTAGCTAGTCCCCTTTCTACTTCATGTCTGCTTTTTCTTTTGTGACTCACTCACGTTTATTAATTAAGGTTGCTTACATTAGCATGAATGAGGGGATTGTTTACTAGAGCTTTGGCAACTTACCAGTGGCTACACCACTGAGGAAAATGACAGCCCCTCCCATGCAGCTCATTAACTTTCAATAGCTCCTCAAGGGGGAGTCTGCCCCATGAGCCGGTTCCCCATCTAAGGGGGAGTGTTGGTGGGCCTGATCTAGGGGAGGTCTTATGTGGGTAATAACAATTGCTGCAGGTTCATGACTACAATGGTCCTTTTATATCCAGAAGACAGCATTTCACAGGATAGACTTCAATTTTTAAGACACTGGAATAATACCACATATATAATGAGATCTCTTGAGTGTGAGCATCACATCTATACATGAAGATTTGAATGCTTCATATATTCCACACACACGTAGCCTGGATGTGATTTTAGTGCACATGCCTGAGAATTTTCATTTGTGGTATCCTATCGGTCATAAAACATTTGAGATTTTAGAGTATTTTGGATTTTCACATTAAGAATGTTCAATCTGTGTTTGTTACTAGTAAAAGGACAGTAGAAAATCAAGCCACTTGCCCCCATACAACACTGCTGTAGAATAGGGTGTCCCCTACACCTGCCTGCCCCACCAAGCCTTAATGTCCAGACTGGGATGCAGAGATGATATGAAAATACAGATTTTGTTTCGAGAAGTGTGCGTCTATTGTAACTTCTATTGTTCCTGTATGTGTGTGTTTGTGTGGGGCAGGGCAGCATGTACATTAAGTGTATATTCTCTCACTGGGCTTTACCCCAGCTCTTTTGCTTTTCTAAGTGGCACCCAGGCAGCACTGAGGCTACTTCATATCAGCAACACTTTGCAGAGTAACGACACCTTGATGTCGACACCACATATCAGCAACCCTTTGCAGAGTAACGACACCTCCCCTCCAGTGCATGGAAAAGCCAGAAAGCAACATTAGGGCTTATTCTAGTCACATAAAATCGAAGTCTGTTTATTTCAACACATAGTCTCTGACCAAGGTTCCATATTATATGCAAGAAAGGGAAACTACACCACTGATCCATGGCCTTAAGTTCCTGTCTGGGCAGCAGTTGTCACACTGTCAGAGACGAATGCAGTGAACAGCATAAGAAAGAAAGGCAAGAAGTGACTTGAGCACACCAGCAAATGCAAGGTTAACTTCTAGTTGGGCAAGATATAGACTCGGTAGAGTAAGCTGAGTTTGAGCACATGCAATCAGGTACATTTTTGAAAGATTTTTAAGTGGTCTGGGTAGAAGGAGAAGCTAAGTCCTCAGGATTTCTGTAGTCTTGCTGGTATGTCCGTCAGATCACAGTGATATAGAGGACCGGTTTGGAGAGGAAGTAATAACTTCTCTGTGGAAGGAGGAAGATTGGAGAAGTTGAGGGCTTGGGACCAGAAATGCCACAAAAGCACACTGTAGTAACCTAGACAATCTATGGAGTACAGAGGTGGTCCACAAACATCTTACCCTTAGTGTGTTACAGTCATTCCCCTCAAAATCTTTTTTCAAGTAGTTTAATTAATAATTTTAAGTCTTCAATTATAGAAACACCTTCAGAGATAGACCACTTAATCAGAGTGAATGATGTCGTATAACCCCTCTTAAATTTCACAGTTTCACATTGATAATTCTTATTTCCCAGTGTATGTGCTGTGGTTTAACCTAGTTATTTGAATATGTTCTTGGACTTTTCAATTAGTCTTTTCCTCTTTTCCTTTGGTTAGACTGCAATTTTAGATTGCTGTATTTACCACCAAATAAAATAAAGCAGCTATAATTAAGAATAATTTTAAATTATAGGAAACTTTAGTACATTTATATGTACACATGTTCATGTGTGTGGAGGTCTGAGGTTGACATTCAGTGTCTTCCTCAATGTCTCTCCACCTTAGTTTTAGAGACAGGGTCTCTCACTGAGCCTGGAGCTTGCGATACAGCTAGGATGGCTGGCCAGGGAGCCCCAGAGATTCTCCTGTCTTGGCCTCCCCAGTGCTGGATTACAGGTGTGTACCACCTTGCCTAGCTTTTTAAAAAATCATTTACATGGGTGTTGGGGATTAGACTTAGGTCTTCATATTTACATGGTGAGCACTTTATTGAGTCATCTCCGTAGCCCAGATGCGATGTTATTATACATAGTGGTTATTAATATGCAGTCGGAGAACAGCCATTCTTTATGTTCCCTAGAGTCTTAAGCTCTGGTCCTTTCTCTTCTTTCCCCCCACTCCCCCTCTCTCTTTCTTTCTACATTGTGCAAGTCTAGCAAAATGATCTTAGGAGGAACAATTTGGAGTACGTACTTCATGAAATCCAAATGTGTAGATAGTTCACTAAGTCAAGTAAGCCATGCAGAGAAGCTTCTAGTGAGGACTGGAGTTACGTAACCATTGTGTATGTGTGAGTTCCGTGCTCATTCTAATAGGTGCATAAGAATGTACTGTCACATACATGGAGTGTGTCCTCAGTGTGGAATTGTGTCCAGTCTAGCAGTGTGGTCTTCCTGTCGTTCGTTTTCTTTGTCTGTGTGAGGTTGTTTTAAACTGCATCTTCTTTGAATAAATGGTTTTGTGCTTGGAAGAGTCAATCCCCATTACAGGCACAGGGTTATATTTTCCTGTGGACCCTTGGGATGCTAATGTGATTGAGCTTCCCAGGGTTTCAGGATATCTGCTGGCAGGGAGAGGGCTGCAGTGGATCCAATTCCTACAGCATCCATTTGGAATCAAAGACCTCATAGAGATGCAGGTAATCAATTTCTGGCTTAATCTGACTGGTGCTCTAATACAGCCTTTTTAAAAGTCACAGAACATGATGGACTGGGTATTTATCTAACTCCATAGCTAATATGCACACTATCTGACTAGTATAGCTTGTGTGATGAGCTTTGCTTCAAGCGTAATTTTCAACTCATTTCTGTTTCCTACTCCTCCAGGGAAATGGGTCCCATGGGGCATGTGTGACCTGTGAGTACAGCCTGCTAACCTGACACTGAGGGAGTCTACCATGGATGGCATCCTGGAACAGAAAGATGGGCTGGTACACAGTAAGATCAGTGATGCCGGCAAAAAGAATGGCTTGATTAACACCAGAAACTTCATGGCGGAGAGCAGGGATGGCCTGGTGTCTGTTTACCCAGCACCCCAGTACCAGAGCCACCGACTGGTGGCCAGTGCAGCACCAGGCAGCCTGGATGGAAGCAGGAGTGAGTCAGTGCAGCAGTTGCTGGACCCCAACACACTGCAGCAGTCGGTGGAGTCCCATTATCGTCCCAACATTATCCTCTACTCGGAGGGCATGCTGCGCTCCTGGGGAGATGGCATGGCAACTGACTGCTGTGAGACCACCTTCATTGAGGACCGATCACCCACCAAAGACAGTCTGGAGTACCCTGATGGGAAATTCATCGACCTTTCAGCTGATGACATCAAAATCCACACCCTGTCCTATGATGTGGAGGAAGAGGAGGAGTTACAGGAGTTGGAGGTAAGATGATGTCCTTGTGGGAGGCCTTCTGGGCAGTGGGGTACGGGGGACACCTATGAATGCTCAGCAAAAGCCAGGGAGGGAAATTTTTATGCAAAAATGTTCTTCTTGGTGCCACTTTGCTCCTATTCGTGAGGGATGGAAGGAGTGGACAAAGACTAAATGGGCCAACAGCTGGAAGCTATAACAGTGATTCTGGTCAAAGGTGAGCTAAAGTACCAGTCCTATGGGTGGGGCAACAGACACCACTGGATGACAGGACAGTTGGGGTACTGCGGTTCAGTACTCCACAAGAGAGAGAGAAAGACCATTAACAACAGCCAGCAAGATGGGAGAGTGCTGCATGAGGCTGGAGATACCTGTGGGGACAACTGGGGAAGTGTTTTGCTGTCACAGTGGGTCCCTTAATTTGACATCCAAGTTTCTACTAGAAGGTCTTTGTTATCTAAGAAACCTGTTGGAAGAAATAATAGAAATGAAAGCGGAGATAAGTTGAATTAATAGAACAAAACTTTTTTGATACTGGTGATTGAACCTGGGGCCTCCTACGTGCTGAGCAACCTATACCTCCGGCCCCAACACACATTTCTTTCACAGATGGGGCAAGTGAGGGCATCTGAATTACAAGCACAAAGACATACAAACAGGACTCTGTGTGATAGGACACCATGGTTGCCAGCTGTGTGGCATGTCTGTCCCTTCAAAGCAGCTATAGGGATCATTAGGAGGTCTCTGCACTACAGGGAGAGTAGAGGGAGTTCTCCCCGAACTTGAGTGCAGTGCTCATGAAGGGAGGCCATGAGAGCTACTGACAGGCCTATGTTCAGTGACCACATCTATAGAGACCCTAATGCCGCCTTGTGATATTAGGTGGGACGGGAAGAGAAGGGCATGAGTTTGGCCAGAGCCTCAGGGAAATTGGGAGAGGGTGCTTTGACTTCTGGAAAATACCCGTTGCAAGTGTCTACTGTTTTCTAAAGTCTCACGGTTTGGCCAAAAACAAGTATCTAAATCTGCCTGGCCTGTGTAAATCTTGGAAGCAGGTATCACAAGTGCAGCTTGAATTTAACACAGAAATTCTGATGAAAGAGTCCCCTGTTGGCTCTGAAAACAACTTGAGAGAGAGTAGGGGTCTGAGCTTGGGGTTGGGTGGGAGAGTATTGGAAGTCATTGCAAAAGTGGCACCCTCTGCCCTGCTTCTGGAGGCTTGAGGGGTGATTGCAAGAGGATTCCAACCCTAGGAGACTTGGTAAGCACAGCAGCTGACCCAGGAGCTCTGCCCAGGACTCAATGGACTGGGTAGGTGTCGACTTCAGCACAATTCTTCTAAAACCCACACCAAGTGGCTGATGTCATTGAATGAAAAACTATTGCAATTAAGGTGAGCCAAGCTGGTAATGGATTGCCAAAAATGTGGATCCAGACATACTGTGAATCAAAGCAAGTTGTATTTAAATATTGGTTTTGGTTATTTGCAAGTTGAATCAGATGCCTGTGCATGTTACAGGGAATGAGAATTCTTAGTCCATTGTGAAGCAGCTAGAGAAAATGGCTGAAGTCTAAGAAGACATGCCAGTCACCTGTTCCTCTCCCAATGTCATTGACATAGTGTAGATTCACGGAAAATGTATAAATGTGCCAGGCGGGAGAGACAGAATAAAATGCACATGTGTGAGAAAAGGACTTTCTGGAATTTATTTTAAAATTTCGATAGCCACCGTGGCAGAAATTGCAGGGATGTACTATAACGCGGAGCTGATTTTCCAAAAAATCTTAACAGAGTTGAGCGTGCTCCGTGGGCCACTTCTCATCTCCAGTCAGTGGCAAATTTCACTTTGGAAGTATTTCTTCTCCAGAGCTAATGCTGTCCTGATTTTCTCCTTCTCTGGATATGGCGTGCTATGCTTCCGGTTTAGTCCTGTTCCTCCTCCTTCTGTCCCCTCCATCTCGCCCACATTGTCCTCCCACTTTGCAGCCATAGCAGCTTCCCAAAGCACAGAGATTGTCACAGCCCTTCTGCCTGAAACCTTTCATGGTTCTCTACAGCCAAAGGCAGGAGTCAAGATCTGCAGCCTGTAGTTCCCAGTTCCTCTGTGTAGTATCCCGCTTTCTCTGCTGTCTTGTCTATTAGACTTTGGAGCACTCTGACTTTTAGGCACTCTACACTTGCTTAACTGGAATGTAGCAGTATGGCACTTATGGGGTGTGGCACAGTAGGGATGCTGGAATCCAGTGGAATGGCAGCTCTAGATGGGCTTGTACTCTCCATTTGTCTATAGTCAGCTGTTCATTGATTGGCTTGGTACTTGTGCATGAGAGTGCTGTGCTTGGTTGCAGTGATGGGATGACAAGTCCCACTTCTCTCATCACCTGGCTGGCCAACCCAGGTTTCCATCACATTGCAGCCATGTCAGGGTCTCAAGAGGAGCAAGAGAGAAAATCCAAAAGTTGGGGGACATTTCCAGTCTTTCTTGATGGCTTGTTATGGCCTCATTGATCAAAGCAAGCCACATAGACAAGGATGATTTAGAGACCAAATAAACCTTTCCCTTTGTATTCATGGAAATTGGTTCCAGGAGCTCCCAAGGATACTATAGCCTGAAATCTCTAATAGAAAATGGCATGTGTTTGCATCTAGCCTACATACATCCTTCTGTATACTATAAAGCATCTCACCATGACATACACACCTAATATAATGTCAATTCTGGGTAAATAGTTACATTGTGATTTGTGTCCAGAAAAACAGTTTTCATATGTTGGGTTCAGCTGACTTTCTCTTCTAACATTTTCTATTCACAATTAGTTGAATATGCCAATGGGGAATATGTAGATCCTTGGGGTGACTGCATAAGAAAATAATAAATTATGTACCAAAAGTGTAGATACAGAAAACAGTATAGACTTTTTAGCATATTTCTAAAACTGTGCAATTGAATGGATTGATCTGGAACTCTTTCCAGAGGGCAACTGTCCTTCAGAAAACAAGAAAAATGCAACTTTTTTTCAAGTTTTTTTTTTGAGATTTTGTGACTTCACTTATTCTATAGAATCAGTACTTCAATTGCAAAGAGTAGTTTTGAGACAGCCACAACCATGGTTAAGAGCTGGAGCGCCTGGTTGCTGGGCAGCAGATGCTGGCCTGCTCCTCTCTTGTTGACTGGAGTGATGCATCCCTGGCCTATGTCCAGGGCAATCTTAGATCCAGAGAGCCCTACCCACCCAGCCACAATTCTGAAGCAGTATTTAGGCTTCTATTTGCCTAGTGGTTGTGGGAAAAACATGCATGGTTCCACAGCCAACTTCAAGAATATCTATAGAAGGTTTCCACGGGGCTAAAGAGATAGCTCAGTGGTTAAGAGCATTGGCTGCTCTTGCAGAAGACCTGGGTTCAATTCCCAGCCTCCACACGGAGGCTAACAACCGTCTGTAACTGCAGTTACAGGGAATCCAATGCACTGCACAACACTGGTGCACTTAATGCAGACATTACACTCATACATATAAAACAAAAATAATAAATAAAAAATTTCTAAAAAGGCTTCAGTGGTCCATGAGGTGTTTGTGCTCTTTCCTGCTCTACTTTGAGACAGGCTTGCTACTAGCTATTGAGTAGTGCAGTATGGTTTGGTATGAAATGAGGGAAAGCTGAGGGACCTTCTGGGGATCCTTAGGATAGCTCTCTGCACAGTCTGGCAGACAGGCAGGCATCCCACTGGTATCCTCAGGACAGTCTGGGTGGTGATAATTAGACCTGGTGTCCCACAGCCCAGGACTGCGATCCTGGTATGTGACCACTGCTTCATCCAATTCCCAGCCAGCAGCTAAAAATGACAGCCTCCAGGAGCACCAACAGCAGGAAACCACTTCTCCTTTCACACAAATGAGATCAAATAGTGAGATTACAGGGACGTGTAATAAAGCAGTTCTACGAAACATGCAATTGGAATTGAAGCTGTGAGGTGGTGTGGTTGGAGCCCGCTACTGAAGAGGCCTCACTGCCCTCCTGCTGACAGTAATGCTGACCTGTGTCAAAAGCCACATCACTGCCCACATATTTGTGACAACGCACATCTGTTCAGACCTACAACTCATAGACCACTGTCTAAAAACCGCCATAAGGGTGAGCCTTTTATTCACTGCAGAAAAAAGGAGATGACAAGTGCACATGCACAGAGTGCTTTCTCCATGCCAGATGCTTTCCATATTATGTCACCTAATGCGGACAGTGCTGGAGACAGGAACATGAAGGTCCCATCCTAGGTGAAGGGAGACGGTTGCTTGAGCTACTTCCAGTACCATATACTTGGCTTTTCTAGAGCCAAGGGAGCAAAGCCAGACTGGCCGACCTGATTCTTTCCTCTTAATGATCATGATCTTTCTGTAAGGAGGAAGGGAGTGTGCACTATGGCAAACTTCAGTTTCAGCATTGTGCGGAGTCCACAAACAGAGTACAGGGAGACAGAACTCAGGTTGTCATTGGCCATGTCTTGGCTTCTGAGAACCCTCAGTCTGGGCTCTCAAGATGTTTATGTCTTCCCTTTCATTCAGAGACTTGGGATCCATGTGTGAGAGTTAGAGCTCCATTGTAGTTGCATCGATGCATACAAAACGGAGCCGGGGAGTCCTCAATGAACAATGAAAAAGACAAAATTATGAAGAGGACAGAACAATAGCATGTAGGAGAACTGACCCAGAGGAAGCAAAATAATTCAGAAAATGTCTTTGAAAATCATTTTATAGCTTCAGACATGAAGGATTAATCATATAATCATATTCTTGGGGGAACTTGATGGGCTAATTTGGGTAGGGGAGAACTTGGGGGTTTTATCAGGGCCAGAGACCTGTGGCTAGACAGGTCACAGGCTGTAGGGAAGAGTAATATTACTATTATTCTCCTAAATGGATATAGCATTAAACTAACTCCTAATGACTTGTTATTGTACTCATAGATTAGTTCATCTCTCAGCTCTTACCAGAGAAGCTTCTTGAGGTAGATG